TAAATCGTATGTCGCATGTGAAACATGCTGCGCGAATTAATATTCGAAGATTTTCACGAGAAAATTTGAAACCCGACTTGGCGAATGTAACATTGGCGAAATTCAAAATACGGTGCCAAAGAAGTGCCCGGGAGTCGACAATGTGTAAAGTCGCGCCCGGCGAAGCTTATTTCGCCACCTTAAAATTTACTGAGGGGTCAATGGAGAGAAAAACGTATTCATAACTGTTTAGTCAAGTGAAGCTTATTTACTTTTTTTCTACACTGAATCGAATAACATTTAAATCAAGCCAATACGATATTAATAGTTTAAAGTTTAGTACGTTAAAAGTATAAAGAAAGTATTATTCGCAATTATAACTATTTTCGCATTTGAAACACCTTAGACAATTAGGTAACTATTCCCACTGTTATTTATTTATTTATTTTTTTTTACGCAGAAGGAAGATACCAAAAGGAAGTAAATAAGACTAGGAGTTCAAAAGTTATTAAAGCTTTCATGTATAAAAGGAACAGTACAAAGTATTTTCGAGCAAACTGTAGTTTTGAAAGGTACAAAGTATTTCCAAACTTTTACTTAAGTGTCACATTTATTTATGAATATATAAACAAGATAAGTATTGAATACTATGTATGTGTTTTACGACGCTGAATCTAGGGGCTCCAAAATCAAGAGTCCATAAGACAAGAAGCTATAGGAATTTCAAGTATTTAAAACATTATTTTTCATTTATGTTTTTTTATACGCATTTAACACTTATAACTTCGGAGCTTCAGTTCTATTGACTTACTTTTGCTTGGATACTAAAAAAGAAAGAAAGAAAATACGCACGAAACAATGTCTATAACAGCAATAGCAACAGAAATATCATGCATATAAAAATGTATTATGTGTACAAAAAATGCACATTTTATGCGCGAAACTTGTTTAAATTTTATAACTTCGGTTAGTCCTATCGGCTTGGTTTTAGTCTCCTTTTATTAAGCGTAAAAAATGCATAAAATCTAATAATTTGCTTATCTACATTGCAATGACAAACTTAAAGAACTGTAAAAACTGCATATATAAAAACTTGACCTGTTTAAGCTTTATCTCCGACACTGAATAAATTTAAGATAGCGGCTTAAGCTGACCTTGGACAAGGGAGCAAACTTCAGGTTTCGATATTGAGAGTCTAGCCATAACTTAACATCCAGCCCTCCCAGCTTATTTTTTATTTATTTATTTTTCGCCAGTGAATAAAATGCGCAAATATTATCAAATTAAATTTGTTTTTTAAAGAAAATAATGAATAAATATTCATTTTTTTTATTTCTATTGCATGTTATAAGGCAGGGGTTTCCAACTTACATGAGGCCGGGGGCCGCAATTAAAAACACCAGTCAAATAGCTGGCTGCAACTTTATCAAAATTTTATATAGGACTCTCTTATGTTTGATGGAACATTAAATATTACTGTCAGATTTTTATCAAGTTGAACAAAGCAAAAATATTGAATTACAAATTAAAATAAGAAGTAGATTTTTAAAAATATTTAATTGCATATTGAAAAATTCTGGCCACAAAATTTGCAAATGTAAATAATTTCGTTCAAAAAGAGTGATTTCAAAAAATTAAATCGGAGAATTTCTTCTAGAAAATTTCTGATTCGCACATGCTAAATTATATTCTCAAAATACACGAAACAAAAATTAGCAACATACACAATTATTTTCGCATTTGAATAAATATTTTCTTGGATGCAAAACCTGAGAAATAAAAGTATTTTAAATCTATATAGAGTTTTTACGAAAATTGTCCGCAAAATAATGTATTGATATATTTTATTTCGTAGGCAACAAAAAAAGGCGGCCGGATGCGGTCCGCGGGACGCCAGTTAGTAACCACTGTTATAAAGTATTCGCTGTTTCCATAATTTTTTGGATATCTTCTTTTTAAATGCCTTTAATATTCTATCTTTATGCGAAGATTTATAAGTATGCAATGCAATATGGTAAATTTTTCATAGTTTGTATTAGTATAAAAGCGAATAATTCATCATAGGCACAAGTTTGAATTCCCCTCCCTCATGAATCCCATCAAAAACTTTAAAAAGTGAATAATTTTTCAAATTAAATAAAAATTTTAAAAACTACGTTTTTTTTAAATCGACTAAAAAAAAAGAAATAGAACGGAAAAAGTAGTACGCCTCACTTTCGTAATAAAATTCGATTACTGGCACTCAACTGTTTTTCCTCTTAGGTCTGACTGAAAAAAATATTCTCTTCTCTTTTTTTAAAAAAATGTTTTTAAAAAACGTTATTAACGTGATTTGTTTTATTTTATTATCTCCTTCTTTTTAATTTTATGTATTTTTTGTTAGAGTCGAAAAGTAGATTCACAATTTCGATTGCTGATATATTATTTTTGCCTATAAATTCTGTTTGTAGTAGTCAGGAAATAATTGAAACAGGAATTGCCATCATAAAGAGATATAGCCCCTGTAGAGATTTAAATGATCTAGCTAGTCGAAAAGTGTTCGAAATTTTCATTTCATGAGCCTCACAGGTAAAAGAACGAGTTTTTAAAGACATTGAAAAAAAAGTAAAGCGTTTTCTTACGATTGTATTGTTTTGATTATTTGATTATAAGTAGTGAAAAAATTATAATAAATTCATTAAATTGCAAACAGTAGTTTTTGAAACAAAGATTTTTGATATTCTTGAGCTTGGAAAAAATATATATTTTCTATAAAATGAAAGGAAGAAAGAAAAAAAATGTCCCTTTTTTAAATTGATTATATAATAAAATAATGTAGACGTATTTTCCAAATTTGAATATTTTTTACTGTACAATTCACTGTACCGTACATTCCTCTCTCACGCTACTCGTTTGATTTCGATAGCATTTTTACTTTTTTTTGTGTACAAGTAAAATAGAAGACGTAGCTTTTAATTAATTGATGCAGCCCTATAAAAACTTTTTATTAAAAAAATCAGAATTAATTATACTTTATATGGTCAAAATAAACTGGGGGGAAAAAACCACATGGTCAGTTCAAAAAAAAAAAATTTAATTGAAATTTTTATTGTATTATAAATATTTTATATTTCTCTTACACTATATTTAATAACTTATATTCCCTAATTTATTTCAACACCAAAAGTTATAAATTCTTACGTCCCCAGAAATGAGTAATAATTGTATCTATTTGCATTTAAATAAGTAACAATTATAGCAATAATGGTAGAAAATATAACAGAATTACTTAATACAATATATACTATAAATATAATACTCCAAAGTTTTTTTTTTTTTTTAAAGAAACAATCTATCACGTACTGACATATTAAAATAGTCGTGTTGTTCTATGATAACAAGATGAAAGTTTTGAAATTTCTCAAATGAAGACCAACTCAGTTTTAAGACTCAGAAATAAGACAAACTCAGGTTTTTTAAATTTTTAAAAATTCGTAGAATCAAAAATACACATTTTAAAAATAAATTAATAAATATGCATGAGTCTTTGATAATTTTTTATGAAAGAAAATCAGATTATTTTTGCCACCAATATATAAAAATTTGATAAAATACGTTGAGAAAAATTTAATACATTAAATTAAGATAAAATAAAAATAAAAAAACATAAGATTTTAAAGTTATCTAAATACTTAAAGATTTTTAAAAAATTAATTTGTGTCTGAAATATTATTACCTGAATTAATATTTTTTAGGATCTAATATTTTTTAGGAATTAATATTTTTTAGGATCTTACATAAAATTATTATTATTATTACCAGATTTAAAGTGCATTTTTATAGACTTCCTTTTATTTTTATTCGTCAGATGGCAGCACAGTCTTAAAAAGAACATAATTATTTCAGAAATAAAACAATGATTGAAACAAAGCGGACCGAAGTGTCTTCCGAATTTGAAAAGTAAACACTATTACTTTTCTAATGATAATAATATTTTTTCCACTACTTTAATATTTTTTATTGTCAATATTTAATTTTTAACTTTTCTGAAAGAATTACAAAAGCAAAAGCTCTTTTCTTATACGGTATTTTTTTTAAATGCTCTGAGCGTTTTGTTTTGGTATTCACTTATTTATTTTTATAAATATTGTTTTACAATAGTATTTCTATTTATAAATATTTATTTCATTTCTCCAACTAGTTCATTATTTAAAATACTTTTTAATAATTATTTTATTCAAAAAACTGCGGAAATTATTTTATTCAAAAAACTTATAAAAAAAACTTAAGAACTTTATATGATTTTAATTCGGTTTTGATATTGTTTTTCTATTTTCTGTCCTTTTCTATATACGGTTTTGTTTTCTCTGCTGTCGTAGAGTGATTCGACTTATTTTTTCCCCTAATAAAAAAACTGACTAAAAGCGTTTTTTTTTTTTTTTTTTTTTTTTTTTTAAAGTCTTAGTTATTGCTATTTTTTCTTGCACATAATACAATGTTATCACCAAGAAGAAAAATTGCATTAATTTCTTTCCTACTTAAATAACATTCTTAACTTTAATATTTTCGTTATTATGAACTGAAAACAAAAACATCTAAGTTATTGGAAATTTTATCAACATTTCTGATAAAAATTAAAAAAATTTCCATACAAAATTTTACAAATTTTATCACATTTCATGAAACCATATTTTATTGCTAATTTTACAAAATCTTACTAAAGCTCTTTTATAAAAATTACTGAGCTTTTTGGTGTTCTCATTCCAGGAACATGGAAAATTTTACCATATTCTGGCAGTTTTGACCATGCTTTTTTTCTCAGTTTTTTACGTGGAATTATATTTCTAACTTAATGAATACCTAGATTATTTCTGAAAACTCCTCAAACACCGAAATAAATAAAAAACCTAAGTAAGAAAGGACCCTGCAAAATTTTTAAAACTGTTTGAAACTAAATACCTTGAGTATACATTACTTCAAAACAAGAGCAAATGATTTAGACAATATGCAATGGAAATTTATTGCTAATGATATTAGTATTATTTCAATCTACACATGATAATTTTTATTCATTGTTTATTAACACACAAATTAATAACATCATCAAAATACAGCAATTTGGAATATAAAGTATAAATACAGTCCATTCATTACGATGTCATATTTTTTATCAGCGCTGAAATGTGTAGTATATGCAATTGATTTACACTTTAGTTCTAAGGACGCAACAATAAAATTACTAATTCGTTGAATTTTATCACAGAATAACACTAAGCCATGTCGTAAAAAAGCAACGAAACAAATCTCTTGAAATATTTCAGTGTGACACTCGCGAATATGCACAAACTTTATATCACCGATGTGAACACCGACAATTTTTACAACACACCGAGTGTAATTGCTTTTGCCGACAGACCACTTTACCTATTTCGTCTTACCCAATCAATAAATCGGTAATACGTCTAATGCAAATCTATTGATTTTATATACATTGTAAAAATATTCGATTGTTCTACTCTATCCGTAAACTTTTAATGAGATGGGTCAGTTTTCATCGAATTCTTCTTTTTTTTTCGGATTTCAGGAATTTTTCATCGAAAAAATTCCCCTTTAAAATACGTTACTTTATCAGTCCCAAAATTTGTTTTTTTTTTTTTTTTTTAAAAAAGCTTCATTTAAAAAACTGAATTTTTCTGAGGAAATGCAAAACCTTAATTAAGGAAACAGCGATGATCACAATTCTAACGTTGAATTTCATGTAGAAATTGAAAAAATTCTGTTAGATAAGTTGCAGCATTATTTCAACGGAATTCAGTCATAAAAAACCATTAATAAATGAAAAAACTTTACTGATAAACATTTAGAAAAAACAGGGGAAAAAATCGTTTTCGAGAATAAATTTTTAAAGCTTGATACTTTTCCAAACAACAATACAAATCAGCATAACTTGGTAGAATATTTTGATAATACAAACATGCATTTTGTACTAATCAAAGTTATGCAAAAACAACATATTGTACTATATTCTGATTCAGATAATGTTGTGCAATATTTTGAACGATGGGAAAATATTGCTTCAATATCGAAACCAGTTTCATGCTGCAATGAAAGGTGACTTTTCTTCGGAAAATTTATTCAAAATAATTCCACACATTCTATCATTTTTCTATTTAGGAACTAAACACAAAACGAAATCTCTAAAAATGGGAAGAAACTTCTAGGATTGCTTAAAATAAATGTAGGTGGCGCAGTTGTAAGCAAAGTGATTTTGTCGAAGTAGCATTTATATTAATCACGTTGAAGTAGTAGGCATGTGAAATGATGTCAGCGAAACAGTTCATCATCACTGATAATTAAAGCCCGGATTTTGATGCCCTAAAAAATCCCTAAATATGCCTTTGAAAATAACAAAGAATGTGCTTAAAATAGCAAAATATGCCCTAAAAACATTTTAAAAAATTTGCCTGTAATTAAAAATTTTGATCAGAGTTTCAATATAATAATTATTATCAATATAGCTTGCGATTTCTTCAGGCTTTAAAAAAAAACTAAACAAAACTGACACAATTCACCATATTCTATTTTTTAAGAGAAATATTTGCAAGTATTGCATTAAGAAGTAAAACTCCATTGAAATATGTAAGAATGAGCCTGTACATCTAAAGATTAATAAAAATGCTCTAAAGTTTTAAAATTGCCTAAAAATATCAAGTAAAATCTAAAATAAAAATAGCATCCCAAACTCTCAACGAAAAAATGACCTAAAAATCTTTAAAAAAATGCCAGAATGGAGCAAAAGAGACTCAAACGAAGAAGAAAAAATGCAAATGTCATCAAAATCCGTGCCTAACTGAGAATTTATCTTTCAACTGTGTGCATTTCACATAAATGTAAGATTTGTGTCCTTTGAAGTGAAAAAAAACAAAACAAACAAAAACATATTATCTGTTCATATCGTTATAACAAGGTCTAGATTCCGACGTTGCAGAACTGAAAGAATGTTGGTAGGAACTGTCTACGCAATTTGCGTAACTTCCATGTTGCATTTCCATTGCTGTGTGCTGCGTGCACGATGAAGATATCGTTTTGTGATGCGATGAGGATGTTTGTGGTAAGACAGAATGACAACCGGATCCTGCCACTTGTGTACCCGAAGTTGATGCGTGTGCTTCATTGGATGGGGGCGGAGAGCTGTGTATGTGGCTTGTGGATGGTGATTGCAAGGATGGCGTTGTAGATGATTGAGAGTTGTTGTCGCAAGGTTGTTTTTTCTGAAGATCAATAATATCTGGAATGAATAAACATCAATAGAATCAGTTTACTTGAACTATAAACTTAAAATAGAACAGCCTAACGTTTTACCACATCAATAGAAAAAATAACTTTCAAAATATTGCATTTTGTGCACTAACAATTTTTAAAGTCTATTTTCCTTTGTGATGTCCACTATAATTTTCATAGTAACTTCTAACATACTTTAAAATATTCCAGATCAAATTATGTTAAAAAAGTATTGGCACCCTAAATGCAGCAACCGTAAAATCCATTCCCCCCCATAAAAATTACAGTATATTAGATTTTTGTTCAGTAAAGATTTTACAGTAAAAATAAATTTGCGGTAAAAAGTACGTTTTTACGGTGCAATAAATTTTTGGAGTAAAATTTTACTCCCTGACCTCCAATACTTCTTAGCGTAATTCGATCCGAAGTTTTTTTCTGTGCCCCAAGTTCTTAAAATGAACATAACTTAGTGCACCGTAGATACATACTGTTTTCAGTTTCAATTCCCACTGCATACTATTTTATGTCCAAAATTATATAAAAGCAGAATATTCTTAAAACCTATGGAAGTGAACAAAAGAAACTTTGCATTCCACTCCGTTTAGCGTACTTCTTCATTTTACTTGAAGAGATCCTCATCTCTATCCAGATGCACAATCTCCACCCAGTCAGTAATTAATTCTTGTTTGCGCAGCGGGTATCTAATCAAACGGACAAAGCAGTGGGGTTCAGGGGATAGAGCATTCCCCTCCCAGTTAGGTGAACCGGGTTTGAACTCGAACGATGGCTGGTTGATACAAAATTTCTCCCCCGGCTCGCACTGACCACAGTGCTGATGCAAAAATATCCTCAGTGGTAGACGGATCATGGGTTAGATTCCCCTTGAAGTAAGGCTTACCGTGGAAGATTTTCCTGGTTTTCCTCTCCATATAATGTAAATGTGGATTAGATCCATCAAAAAGTCCTGCATGAAGGCAAATTTCTCCCTGTACTTGATCCATAAGCTCCCTTGTCTTCTGGATCTAGCTCAAAATTACAACGCTATGAAGTTGAATATTAGCAGTCATAAACTCAAAATTGATCGAATTCAGTGACAATTATATAATCAAGCGGACAAAACAAGTTACCACTTTCGCAACGTCAGCATGTCGCTAGCAACAGCGACTCATGTTAACATTATACAACTTGTAGTGTCTGCAATTCTTTTAAATGTTTCAAATACGTCCCACTTTGCTCTATTCTTTCTTTTCAAGTGAATTGTTTCTTTTCAAAGGAATTGTTAACAGACTCTCGTCTGTATAATTTTGATACCCTTTTAAATGGCTATTCACAATGCATCCGATTGCCTTATTCATGAGTGCGAATGCTTAGAAACTACATGTAAGAGAACTCTTCGCAAATACGCGAATCGCTGACAGCGATAATGTTCCACAGTCAACTATCCAAATGAGGAAAGGATATACTTTGTATATAAATAAAGCTAAATAATGCGAATCCAGCACAAATAATGCCTCAAAGCTTAAATACAAAACTACTAATAATTTAACGACTCTCATTATTTTATACATTTCAGATACTGAACAAAAACATATTGAACAATTTGATTTTATTGGTTGATATACAACTACTTGTCCTGGATAGAAGCACTGGACAAGTTGAACCCTCGTTTCATGTGGTGAAATCAAGGAAGTATGAAAATAAGGTTCAATTTATCACCATACTAAGGGTGCAGCAAATTTGAACAATATTATGATTCTATGCAATTCGAATAAAAATTTTTAACAGTGTGTATAGACCCAGTACTAACTACATAATTATACGATTCTTAACTTTTTTTTTGTCAATTTATGAAGGTACGTAAAGCAGAGATATCAACTGATCCGGACATGTGCTTACTTTTTTAAAGATTTAGCATGACTTCACTAAGAGACTAATAAAGAGGTGAATTATATAAGCCTTCGAATTAATTAAAAATAGTGGTGAATAAAAACCTAATAAACTGAATTTACTACAACAAGAATGACAATTAATAAACTACCACTCGAAAATATTTATTCGCTGTCATGAGCAAGTTGGCCTCTCTGCGTAAAGTTATCTATGAGTTGTATAAATTAAATTTGTGCTATTCTTAATAAAAATAAAGGTAATAATTGTAATTTATAGCTTTTTTTTATGTACTTTACGTACCAGAGGATGAAGACTGTTCTGGTTTCACAGTTGATGCAGTTTTGTTAGTGTTCTTTGGTTTCCTTTTACGAGTCTGTATTCCAGCTTTTCTCATCGCTAAAGGTCTGTTCATCTGAAATCATGAATAACCATGTTACACTTCGATCACATCAAGCATTCCACAGGATTTTATTTAAATCACTATTAAATATTAGAACTTATTGGTGAAGGACTGAAGTCAAGTATCTTTATTTGCTTGGTAATCATTTTTTTAAGGTTCGAAGCTAAAGATGTAATGCATATTAAATTTTTTGCGGATATTCGAGATTGGTGCAAAAATTTATTAAATTGCTTTAAAAAAAATTTAGAATGAGTTTATGTTTGTAAAAAAAGATACTTAGGTAGTTTCTGTCTCATAAAATAAGTAAACGAGTTAAAAATAAAAATCAAAAAATCTGCAAAAGTGTCATATAGATTATTTCAAATGTCAGACAAGAGTATTGAGTTATTGACAATTGTCATACAGACAAGAGTGCTGAGTGATTGACAATTGTCGTATAGAGAAGAGTGTTTAATTATTGACAATTGCCATACAGACAAGAGTGCTGAGTGATTGAGTCTTATAGAGAAGAGTGTTGAGTTATTGAGAATTGTTATATAGACAAGAATGTTGAGTTATTGACAATTGTCATGTAGAAAAAAATGTAGAGTTATTGACAATTGTTGTTATATAGACAAGAGCGGGGATTTTTTGACAATTGTCATGTAGACAAGAATATTGACACGTTTTTGTTCTTAGGCAGCAGAAGTAAAAGTCCCGCTGTTTACGATCTATGGTGGGAATAATGCGATAGAAATACTATGCATGAACTTTACATAAAAGTGTCCTAACACAATGGCATGCTTTACTAACCTAACATGCCGTTTTCGACTGGCGGATACTTTATGTTATTCCTTACAATACTTTATAAATAAACAAGTAATCAATACATTTAAAAGCAGCATAAAGTGATAGAAAACTCAAAGATAATCGATGAATTTAGACTGACAAAGAACATATACTCACATTGTGCAGTTTGTAATAAAGACCACAGGCATTGCACACAGGTTCTCCATGGTTATTTCGTCGCCATAGAGTGGTTGTTGTTGTCCCGCAATTTGAACAGGAGAGTCCCATCCTACGAGTAGCTGGCTAAATAAAGAATTTATTAACGTTTTAGTATCGTATTTGTAGTATTATGGATAAAAATTACAGAATCTCAGATTGGCAGAATAAATGCTTTAATTTGATTACTTAGATGTATTGCTTTGTTTAATATACCAAAAAATCAGATAGAAATTTTAGATAAGTATTAAATAGTTTATCAGAGCCTGAAATAAAGGGAATTAGTTTAAGAATAAGCTTAAAAGTAAGTGAAGAAAATTTTAGCACAAACATGCATTTTGTTATTAGTTATAGATATGCGAATGCTTATTATTGTGTATTCTATATTTTGTTGTGAGTAATAAAAAATGTCCATTCCATGCTTACCAGCCGTCTTTGTGGTTTACTCAGTGGCCTATTGACACCATTCATTCGATGATATAGGCCACAAGCATTGCACAAATAATGTCCAGTTCCATCTCTTCTCCATAATGGTGTTGAGATGGCCCCACAATTCACACATTCGCGACCTTCATTGAATGGGTGATAATCTCCTGGGTCAAATTCTATTATGAATGAAATTATGAAGAAAAAAAAAATTATAACAGTTTATTTTCGCAGACCATCAATTATTATAATTTTTCTTACGTGAAATTAGTTTTTCAAATATTTCAAATTTTTTTGAAAAATTTATAAGATAAAGACGTATTTTAATGTTTCTTGATTTTTGAAACTATATAAGTTAGAGTAAGTTTAATTAAAATAATTTTTAAAATTATATAATTGAAAATCTTAGAAGATAGAATTTAAATAAAGGCCGGAATACTTTTAAAATTACGCTGGACGTTCACTGCCTGTAATATAAATTTTTAAAATTCATTCCAAAATTGAATTTCGAAAAAATATACACATTACATGTAGTTAATTAATATCTAAGCAAGAAAAATTAAAATACTATCGAAATCTAATGATACATTACCGAGAAAGGTGGAACATAAAGCATCAAAGCCTCTTTGATTGTTTGATTGTAAAACAGAGACGTTGAAAGGCGATTATTAGAAACATCTCCAAGTTTCATCGGGCTATCAAACTTGGTTTTGATATTTTAAATTCTATCTTCCTCAATAGTGATTTGACAGATTTCAGTTTAGAAAAAAATTCCAATTCCGTGAGAGCCACGTAGTGTAAATTTTTTGCATCACTTTTGGCTAGGGCTCTAAGAATTTATATCAAAACCTGATCAAAATAGAAAGCACTGCATACATAGCCTTAAATAATTTCAAAGATATCAATGAAAATGTCTCAAAGCTAAATATCCCCGAAAAACAGCCTGTACTCAAGACAAGCTGCGTCGAAATAGCCAAAACAAAATTATCTCTGAAGAAACAGTTTATTTCTTTTAAATTGTATAATTTAATTTCGAATTGTAATGACAAGCGCTAGTGACAAAAATACTCAAAATGTTTCTAGTTTTTATGATTATTATATTCGTATTAAAAAGTTAAAATAACAATAATAATTCTTTCGAAGGAAGGGGCTTAGGCAGATATTTTAATAACTGCCTATTTTTTAATAAACGATATTTTTTATTTTATATCCGTCGTTGAACAGCAGACCCAATTTTGGGTTTACGGCTACTAATGTTCAACTCCGTAGTCTTGCAGTTTTGAACCAATCCAGAAGACAAGGAAACTCCTGGATCAGTATACCCAGAGGCTTTAATTTGTTATGGGAACATGGAGGACTTAGCGACTCGACAGATTTAACGTGCATCCGTCACCATTTACTACACGAGGAGTCTTCGGCAAGCGGACATCGTTAATAAACGATAGTAAAAAAAACTTATATTTTATTTAAGTTTTATAAACTTATACTTATTTATAATTCAAATAGAATAAGCCCGTGCTTTTATTTTTGCTTTTTAGAATCGCGATCCTACTTTAGGCACTCAGGAATTATCACAACCTCTAAGGCATTGAAAGAGGTTATTTAATGATATCTTTGTAGTTTCAAGATGTCCTAATAAGTCACATGTTTATAACACTATATCAACCTTGCACTTCTAATGAAACTCCATTGTTCCAACTGGGTCATAAACACTGGCTTAACTAGGCTAAGATGTGTGTCTTTGGCACAGCCTAGTATAAGCTATTTTAAAGGTTTCATAATTATAAGTACATAATTTATTTTATTTCAGGTATGGTTGCAGTTACTTCATTTGCTAAAGAGTAAAAAAATAATAATAAAGACTTAAATATAGTGTGATTTAACTATTTGTTATTGGTGTTATAATATGTTCTTATTAACTAACACTCTGTTCGATATATATAATATAAATTAGTACTATAAGCTCATTTAATTGGTTATCACTTTTTCGAATATATCTCACTTAAAGTAATCTTCATTGTTTTAAGAATTTACTACGTAAATTCGTATGTAAATTTTAAAATTTTAAAAATATTTAATGATAGGGTTTAATAACTAGATAATTGTATTTTTATTGTTTTACAATTTCACAGGCACTATAGGTATAATTAACTGAAATAAATGCTGAACTGATTGCTTGAGTTATCATTTAAATTATTATTTACTATTATTAAAAATATTTAACGTTAACTACGTTACTATTACGTCATTATAAAATTTGTTGCGGTTACAAAATTTCGGAATATTTAGCAATTCATAAGTCAATATTGTAAATTCAAGACATTTTATTTTATAATCAATGCATGATTATGACATATTTTATTGAATTGATCTTCTCAAGTTGAGCCTGAGTAAAAATATTTTCAGGAATTGATTGTTTTGTGCATTAATAATTCTACCAGTTAAGCGGTTGAATAAGTCGCGTGATTAAAAACACATTTCATTTATTAATTACTTAATTATTTATTTGTTTCGAAATTCCATGTATTTAATGTACTTCTAAACATTAAATCCTTAAGTACGCAATACATTCAATTTTCAATTTCGTTAATTTTGAGTACAAATAAAAGAAATTTTAGAGCATTGACTGATCTAATTTAAAAGTTTTGATACTTTTTTTTAACAATTACTATTACAAATGACTTAAGAACGATATACAAATTGAACTGAATAATATTTATATTATATAAATAATTATACTCTGTCTAATCTATTTCTCAATAACTTTCAAATCATTAAGTTCTTTTACCTTCAGTTGATATTTCTTATTATTCAGTTTGACATAAGCCTTCTTGCAGTATGGCCATTAATTTACCAAACTATGCTTCCCTAAATTCTCTTTTCTTTTCTCAATCATGTCAAAGCTCAATCAACATCAATTTATGAACATTCCTCGTATTTACCGGACCACGAAATAGCTTCGACGCCCTTTCCAAAATACCTCCCCTTTTTCTCGATAGCAAAATATCCTTTAATTAAAGGGTCCAGACCATGGATATAAATGATTCCTTCAGTCATGGAACATTGTCATCCCTGTTTGCTCACAATTTCGACGACAAGACAAGGGAATCTCGCCAAATATTCCTTTTCATTATAGCTCAGACATCGAATTACATAATTGCCTAATGAGGCAACATAGCACTTAATTTCTTAGCCAAAAGAATGGAACGGTCTTCCAAGATTCACCGAGGTTTTTCTTCTTCTGGAATAGAAGCAAAATGGCCAATTGAGATCAATTACTGCAGCGTGTTTCCGGCAATGCTATTAATCACTCTCTGAATAAGCTTTGATATCGTTGAAATGGGCGATTGTGTAAGCAAGTCAGGTGTCGCTACGACAACATAGTTTACCTTCATAGCCTAGGGCTTTGAAGCTTTATTTTTATATTTCTCCTTATTGTAAAAGTCTTTTTTTCTTTCTTTTTTTTCGTAGCTTTGAAAGACTAACGGAAGCTATGGCAGTGTCTTTTTTTGTTTTTGTCTTGGATTCATTAAGGAGGAATGGCAGGCCTTTCTAAACAGTTTAACCTAGGGAGTGGTTTAATTATGAAAAATCGCGGGACCTAGTCGAGTCGTTTATGTTTTAACGACCTTCTGTTTTCTCAGATGAGAAAGGCTATAACCTTTAAACACGTTTCAACACGATAAATTTAAATGAACGTGATTAAAAGCACGTGGTTAATGCATTTTTTGTACTCCATAAATTAAATTAAATACTTCTTTATACTAATAATTCATCTGTCGCACAAGTAGTGGTAATTGTTATTCTTTTTTCTTAAGGTTGAAATAACTCGAAGTAACGAGTTTTTAATTTACTTTATGCAATTAAAATTAAACAAGCATTTATCTTCTTCAAAGTTTTTATTAAACAGATTTTATAGATTTAAAACTTTTATCAACTTTTATTTTACCTCAAGGTAAAAAAAATTTGAGCATTTATTGATCTATTTTTTAATATTAAAGATTCATATTTGTTTATTTATTCATTTAATAACAAAATAGAAATAAAATAAATAAACGATTCTATAGAGATAAAAAAAATTGAGTGTAAAGTAATCAGATTTTAAAAATTGAAAGTTCTTTTTAAAATCAGTAAATAGTAGGTATTTTAACAAATATAATTAGAAGTGAACAAAAAGCTTAATTGAGCTTTTATTTAAATTATTATAATTCACTGTATTATTATTAAAGTTAAAAATTTTTTATATTAACTTGATTTTTTTCGTACATTAGGAAGTAAAATAAAATATGTATTTTTTTAAAAAGTTTTTATTAAACAGATTTCGCAAATTAAAAATTTTTATCGACTTTCGTTTTCCCAGATACAATTGAAGTTTTTTTAAAAAAATTGAATCTTTATTGATCATTTTTTTAAAATATTAAATGTTCAGATTGATTTATTGATATAATAGAACAACAGAAATTAAAAAAAAAAAAAAAAACGATTCAGTAGGAAGAAGAAAAATTTTTGAGTGGAAAGTAATCAGATTTTAAAAATTAAGAGTTCTTTAACTAATAGAAACTTTAAATTTTGATCATTTAGATTTTGAAAATTAAATATTTTTACTGGCATGATTCAGTCAATAAATTGTTTAAAATAAACAATCTTTAAAAAAAATCTATAAAAATTGTAGTACTAAATTCTAATTTTTCCCTTAAAAAAAGGATAGGAAAATAAAAAATGTTCTTTATATGAGCCTTTTTTAGTCACAAATCATCGTTGATTCACGTTGGTTTTAACTTAAGCATTTTGTAAAATCTGTTATCTAGTTTTTTCAGTTTTCTTGCTTGTTTTTTTTAAATCATGTTAATTGTACGTAAGTTTCATAAAATTTAAAAAAGGATTTTAAAATATTTTTAATCAAACAATTTAATAAGGATTTGACTCTTCTTTAACTTTAGGGAGAAAAAATTAATGCAAAAATGTTGTATTCTTTTTATATTAATTTGTACATTCTTTCATATTTGTTCTAAAATGCCTGAAATATGTTAAAATTATTTTTTTGAGTTTTACATATTCTTAGAGAATTTTTTTTTTACCCAAAAACTTTACTCATATGATTTTATCGATTAATACATAACACAGTGTGGTTCAAAAAAAACCACTATGCTTTTGGGGGGAAAAACTTATAAAAGCAAATCTCTTATAATATATAATGAAAAAATTTTTATTCGTTGTTATAAAGTTCATGCAGTAGACGATGCGAAGTTCAATCACAACTTACTTATCTAATTTACTTTATTACCATAAGTTTACTTTAGTTAGTAATTCAAGTGAAAAAAAAGTACAACAAAGGGTGCAATGCAAACTTTGTAGAAATTTATGAATCAAGGTTTGCTAAATTTTAAATTTGTTTTTCTCAAGAAAAAAACATATTAAACTCTTATGTATCACGTATTAATGTCTTAGAAGGAAATTTTATGCAGGGTATCTAGACTTCCTAACTAAATTATTGAGAAACTTTTTAAATAATTCCTGAAAATTATTTTGATTACGTTCGAAAAAAAATCTGTTTGGTCTGGGATATTTTATTCCTTTTGAAAGGGCTTTAAAAGTACTCTTCAGTTAATTTTCTTTAAAAAAGAAAATTATATGCTGGTTAGCGATAGAAAGAAACAACGTAAGATGCTTCGCATTTCTTGCCATGAATCATAAAGCGCATCTATAACGGAAACTGTTGTATAGTAATTGCAATAACTAACAGAAGATGCTGCGTTGCAAACCGTTGAATAGATGCTCTAATCCTTGCTGTTCTGTGACTCATGTGCCTGTGTGTATATTTCTGACTAAACGTTTGTAAAATGCAGGACAACAATGGACATCTATTTGACAATTGCTATATTTGACAACTATTTCAGAATCGCTTACTAATTTTCAACTTCAATTTTTTTTTAGTCTCATGCAAAATAGGATGAACAAAAGTAAGTTTTGAGTAATAAATTTTCTTACTGAAAAAGTTTCTAAACTGTGAATGGGATCACTAAAATTATTACATTTCTTAAAGAAAATGAAAGAGTGCTTTGGAAGGGAAAAAACTTTATGGAGCCTAAAAAGTATTCCAAAGATGAATAAGTCGCAGTTCGCATACGATATTTTGATTTCTAAATTTAAAAACAGATCTACCTTGTCTTCTAGATAGGTGACTCTGCGAAGATTGTAGGGCTGCCCCATTTTCTAGGCTTCCCCAATGCCCATTCTCCATGTATGAATGATATGCACTTAATCCATTGCTACGCTGGAAGTAGGACGTACTATCTCGGTTCACACCGCCAATGGAGCCTGACAAAGATGGAGCCTGAAAAAAAAATGCAATTTTTAGTTTTACAGTTATGATTAATTTAAGCAGAATATTAGATAATTTGAAACTGGAAAACAAAGTTGGTCTGTTTTTTTTTTTCTGTTTTTTTTTCGAAAAAAAGTCTTATTTCTGTAACATCTGGGAACGATTTTAGTACTTATTGGTAATTAATATCACAATAAATTTTGAATAATGACGTAGCACTGTAATAAATATAACACATTTTATTACTTAAATATAACTAAAACTTATCTCATGTCCGTAATAACCAGAAGCAAAGCTTAAAACTTTGTAGTAAAAAAAGAGATGGCTAGTGCAGATATATAAAGATAGTGCAGAAAAAAAAGCATTTCTATTATTCATCACTCGAAATTTCTATGCCATTTTTGGTAGATTTGCAAAATTATGATACATTTTGATAGGTAGTTGCATTACAAAATACTTGATTGTTAATTAGCAAAATAAAAATGTTTTCTTTGTAGAAAAATTCTTAGTTTGCTTTTTAATTATCATTTTAGATTGTTTTTAATTCATCGTTTTTAATAATAGGAGTTCTTATATTATAAACCAATACTTATCGCATATTTTAATAGTCACAATATCTCATTTTCCTATTTTTCTTAAATTTTACCAATGGTGCTTTTAAACTAACTCATCGAACCGAATCGAGTGTTCATATACAGTTTAAAGGGCTTATTCAAATCTGAAAACCAATAATAGAAAATGCTTACTCCAAACTCATGCACATTTACACTATTCTTGAATTGCTTTTACACCCAGAAACGCCAATTTTGGTGTAGTTTTGGAAATTGTAAGATGGCAACGATACTTTATTTACTATTATCACGAGAAGTTGTAAGTTTGTTATTGCCTCGCACGCTGCTAATAATATTCCACAGGAAAAAGAGTATATTATTAGAGAGTATTAAAAGAGTATACTGAATCAGTTTAAGCATTCAGTATATTGAAAGTTATCTCCCTAACTATCTGAAATACAAACACATTGGTCGAACAAGTGCCCCAACTCACAAAACGAACGATACAAAATACGTAATAATTTACTCAGTCAAAAGAGTAGAAAAAGTTATTCCATCTTTCATTTTTACCCATGTGAAGTACTGAAGGATGGTTATATCCACCTGTTATTGTTGTCTGGTGGTAAATTATTTTTTCTCGGTCCGCTATGGGCATTTGAGCCTCTGCTAATATTTTGATTGCACCTACTAAATTTGCTCCATAATTGCTCCAGGTATCTGTAAATTGCCCACGTTTACCAATGAAACGCTTTAGAGCAAGAACAGATGCTTATAACTTAAAATCCCCAACTAGTTCTAAATAAATATTTCTTGCTACGAAACATAAAAAAGTCCGAAGGGCGATACATTCTTTGTAGGTACCTTTTCTACCTTTCTACCTATGCTACCTTTTCTTTTGGAAGCCTTTAACTAGATTGGACCAGCATACCCCACTCCAATATTCAGAAAAGTATATATATATTTTTNTATGCTTATAATCTCTTTAATATTCATGTTACATATTTCAAAATTTTCACAACATTCATAGCCACAACCAGTTTATTAAAATTTAGTATTGCAGAGGAAGAAAAATAATAAAATTTTTGATTGAACAATTTATAGGCTAAGTGTTCTTGAAATCCTTATTTAATCTTTTAATTTTAAATAAAATAATTTATTCCTTTTTGAATACATTTGGATAAAGTTTGCATTTCAGGAAGAAATGTAGACAAATTTAAATTATGCATTAAGGTATGTATTATGTTAACTTTTACTTTTAATAAATAATACGTAGTATGAAATACGAAATGCTTAAAATAATTTGTGTAAAATTTTAAACTTAATTTTATAACTTACAAAAATGCGAATAGAGAAAACAGTATAAGTAGGGGAAAATCGTTAAGCGAAACATCGAATCATATTTCATGGTAAAATGCAGACGATTTTAAGTTTCCTAAAACATCTGGAGTCATCATTTTTTTAAAATATTTTTTTTATATTTATTTTTTCACTTGGCAACGATTGAGTGTAGCGGTTAATGCTATTACATAACTGAATGCAAACATCTGCAAAAGAAATATTGCAAGCTTAAAATTCTATTATTTTTGTTGAGTGCGTTGTACGTGTTAAACGTTTCTTCTCTAAGACGGTTTTGTTACAGTACAGCCATTTAATGTTTCTCATTTATCGTTGATTTGTGATGAAGTTTAATTATTTTGTGAAAAGGATGAACCACTGGTTACACTTTACCAAAGCTCAAAAAATGGTGCCATCCAAAAATGAATATTTTCAAAAATGATAACTTTTGATGACTGTTGTTTAAATTCGAATAAAAGAGGTGAGTCTTCTTTTTCCTTTTTCTTGAAGATCGATTACTAATGAATACTGATTTGTTTTGAGAATTATGTTAATTGTGGTTTTATTAAAGAAAGTTGTTCACTTTCGGTTTTTATTAAGTCAAAGTTATTTCATTATTAGAAGGTTCTTCCGTTTTTAAATACTTATTGAATGTTTATTTTCGATTGCTGTATCTATATTATTTGATCCTGATCACATCGTATAGTTTTCTCTTCATTTTCTTAATAATTAACCCTAATCAACCACGTGGGAGATTGCTGTTAAATGGTTTTTATTTTCTTATTCAGATTACTCGTGTGTTGTAAATTGTAAAATAATTTCTTTTCACATTTCTTATTAAGGGGTTCTTATCTTATCATTTCTTATTATTTCTTATTCTAGGATTTATTATTAAAATTAATTCGACATAATTGGAGTTAATAGTTTTAAAATTTTTTGCTCTTCTCTTAAACGAACTATTACCATTTCTATGTTAATTTTGTTATTAACATAGCTTAATTTTTAATATCAATCAGTACTTATTACAAAAATGTCGCTAAAAATCATTCATGAAGATTTTTTACTTTTCTTTTAAATAAACTCGTACTTGTTTCTCCATTAACTAAGCACTAAGCATAGCTAGTTTTTTATTCCAATTCATACTTATTACCAAAATAAATAAAGCATCATTGGTGTCAGTAATAGCAATGCAATTTTTTACGATTTTCCTACACAAATCTGTACTATTTCTTCATTTATTTTGCTTTTTAGTACATATATTTGTCCTTTTTTTTATTTAATTTGGTACCTATTATCAAAATTAATTAATCATCATTGTCGTAAATAATAATAGGGCGATTTTTTACGTTTTTTGAAAACAAATTAGTAATATCTCTCCATTAATTTGGCTTATAAGTACGTAATTTATTTTTTAAATTTCAATTACCGTTTATTTTAAAGTACTTAGTTCTGCAGAAGAATATATAGTACTTAGTTTGAATTATATTATTCAAATATATAGCATGTAATACATTTCAATTACATTTATGTAATAATTATATTACTTAGTTTGAAAAGTGTAACGATAAACAAAACAAAACTCTAGTTTCAGATAAATTCAGGAATATTAATTGAATGACGCAGTTCGCCTCTGCTACCAGGTTGCGACTTTACACATTGTCGACTCCCGGGCACTTCTTTGGCACCGTATTTTGAAATTCGCCAATGTTACATTCGCCAAGTCGGGTTTCAAATTTTCTCGCTAAAATCATCGAATATTAATTCGCGCATGTTTCACTTGCGACATACGATTTAAAAAACGCATGAGTGAACATGAGGTGTGAATAAATTTAGCTGCTTTAAAAGTTTTTGTGTATTATCATTCTTTTTTTATTCGGACTTCCTGAAACACATATTTATTTCTTACTTTTTTATATCCTTTTTAGGATAAAGTTTTGTTATGGGTGTAGGATATATGAGTAGAATATAGCTTTATAATTATTTTTATAAATTTATTGCAAATAATTTATGGTGTCTTTATCAAGCATGTGGACGTAATATTCAATAATGCAGCAGGGTTTTGTACCTTATTGTTTAGTTTTTGAAACCTTTAATTTAAGTAACTACACAATTTATGAGTTTTAAGCATTTTCATTTTATATACGTGTAATGATGAGGAGATTGTTGCTGTCAGCTTTATACATGAATTTATTCTTTCTTACTTTTCTGACATTGATATCTATGATTAAATTTGATGTAATGATTCCCATTTGCAGTGCGAATAATATTTGCTTCCAAACAATTGTACTTAGATTTGACACTTTTTTGTAAATGTTATGTCCCAAACGATAAATTCCTTCATACGTATTAGCCAACTCCACAGCTTTGGTAGCCAGAACATAAAAATTTGTAGCTGTTAAAGTATATTTATGAGGTGAACACAATTTTGATTAAAGAAAACCTTTTATGATTTGTAAAATAAAAATATAATGTAAACAGTAAGCATTAACTTTGACATTCTTATATCATAACTCATATCATAACTTATATCATATAAGGACAATCTGTTTATTTATTTCTGATTCATTAAAGACAAGATATTGAGTCAAATAAGAGAATCTTAACAATTTTTAAATTTAATAATTTACTTTAAATAAAGAAAGTAGTTTTAAAGCAATATGGTTGAAAGGCTGAGGACTCACGCTTTTCTCAAAAAAATTAATCGATGTTATGATAGTAAAACAAAACTCTTGCGATCAGTTATCTCAGCAAAAGTAAGATTTTTATTGCCAAATAAGAAACAATTATTACCATTCTGCAAGGAACAAATAAAATAAAATAGGTCATACAGTTTTCAGACACACAGACTGCATGACAATCTAAGAATAAATGTTTGAACTTTTAAAGCAAATTACATACAATAAAAGCTAATGTGTGAAAAAAAATTATAAAAACTAGTTGTTACAAATGAGACTATTATATGATTCCAGCAACTTAAAAATTCTTTTGGAATTTTAAAGACTAATGAATACTATTAAATAATAACAGAAAAGTTTTCTGTGTCTCTTTTGTCTCATTTTTGAAGCAGAATATAAATTGAAATACACATTTCACTTTTACTGATCCTGCTTTTCTCTGAATCGTTCT